CTTCCTCACCTCAGGAAATATCCCTGTCCACTCCCCCTCCAAGGAGCCCTTGCCAGCACTCTGCCTCCTTCAGCCCTGACAGATGGACCAGGCTGGGGCTGCTCAGGTGGGCACTGGCCTGGCTTTGGCCAGGATTGCCAGACCTGATCCTGCTCTGAACAGGTTTGCTCAGGTTTGAACAGCAAGAGAGAGGATGCTGGTTAGGAGTGTTTGCAGTCGTGCCTCCTGTGCAGCCCTGGCAGACCTGCAGTTCGAGTGGCAGTGTCAGGACCTGCTGAGCCACCAGCTGGGCCTGATGGCACAAGGGCAGAGCCTGGAGCTCAGGGCCAGAGAGTGCCTGTGAGCACGGGGGCTGTGGCTGGAGCTGGAGCTTTGAGCCCACACCCTGGAGTGCTGTGAAATGTGTCCCTGTGTTGGGGTGTGGGTTCCTCAGCCACTGCTCAGTGCAGCTCCCTCTGCCTGCTTCTGCTGCAGGCAAGTGTGGAGCATTTGCTGAGGGGAGCACAGCATGGAGGGAGAAGCCACCAGCTTTGCTTGCAGACAGAAGAATTTCTCTTCTCTTCTCTCTCTGGAGAAGGTGATGGCAAAAATGTTTTGGAGGTGAAGTAGAAGTTTTCATTACTGTAAGAATCAAGAGTATCAGTGCTTTTCAGAGTGACATACCAGAGTGAAGGAAAACAGAAACTAATGCCCCATACTGATGTCTGCAGGTTGCTGTGGTTAAGTTTAGGCAGACAGGATGGAGTTGCTCTCAGTTCATCCTGGCTTGGAGCAAGAACAATGAGATTTGAGAGGCTTCATGCTCTCTTTCACAATTACCCAAAACCTTTGGTGTTATACTAATTAACACAGTCCAGCTTCTTTCCTCCAGTGATTGTACCTTTCAAGAAACATTGAGGTGAAGTGTTGGGTTTTTTCCTCCTATACCTTTGTGGAGATACTCCAAATGGCTTTCTTTGTATGAAAGAAATAAGGAAATTATTTCCTTCTTTGTACGAAGGAAATAATCCATTTTCTTTTGTGTCAGACTTAGCTGGATGTCTCTCTATATATTATTTATGGTGTACTCCTGGTTTTGTTGTTGGATGGAGTAGCTGATTTGAGCTCCAGTAACAATCCATCACTACCTTGGGGAGATATAATTGCTTGTAAGTATAGCACTTCATGTCTTGTCTTTGTTTTTCATTGCCTTGAATGTGTTGTCAGCTTGCTCAGCCTGTAAGGCTTTATGCTTGGAAATAGTGAGGTGTGAGGAAAATAGATGCATTAGATCCTCCATGCAATGAATCCAGGCTCTGCTGTTGCAGGTTTTGAACTCAATGAATTCACTGGGGACCAACGTCAGTAACTGAGTGTGTGAGGTAAAGTCTAGCCTTAAACATTAAAGACTGGAAGCAGGGAAGTAACAGTAAGATTAAAGCTGACTTGAAAAAAAAAATAAATATTACACAGTTTCCATAGCCGAGAAATTAGAACTTCTTTAGGGGAAGAGGTAGAAGACGCCAGAGTGGAGAAATTTTGTGATGTTGTTGACCAACAGATGGTAGTTGGTGGAAAGTTTTTTTATATTTGTTTCTTGAACAGCTGTAGGTGCATGAGCTATTGCATGTAGGTGTGCACTATCCACCGTGATTTGGGATGCTTCAGCATGTAGTGGAGGAGGATCAGGGAGTAGATCTGTAGGAGGAAAGGGATGCTGTTACAGTGATACAGAGAAAGACCTAAATATCTGGAAAAACATTCCAGAGAGTGAGATGGATAGCTCAGGGAAACATTGCCTTTAAAGCAAAGTGTTTTTTCATACTTCAGACTTATCACAAAAAAATTCAAGTGCATATAAAACTGCTAGGAAGCTGTGCAGTGGCTGAGGAAAACAACCTAGATGATTTAATAGACTTTATGTGTCTCTAACATCTGGATTCAGGGAGTTAATCTGAGTTAGTGGCATTCTGAATCTATTGAGTTTGTGCTAAATCAGGAGAAGTGGGAATTCACAAAGTGCACAGCTGCACTGGTGTCATTTGAAGGCAACATTCATTGAACCTGGTAGTTATTCACCCAAACCCCTGGAACTCCTTTGTTGAATTTGAAACTATAAAATCCCAGCACTGCAGAGCCCTCAGCAGAGGATGGAGGGATCCCACCCTCAGAACAGGCACGGCTGCTGTTGCCCCTTGGCAGGGGTGGTGCCACAGCCCCTCCAGAGGGGAGCTCTGAACCTCAGCCCTGCAGCCTCTCGAGGACTCTCCGCGTGTCCCACAGCCTCTCCTGCTCAGCATTCCTCCTCTGCCCCACTCCAAACTCCGGGTTGTTGTGGGTGTGAACCCCTATGTCTCTCCTTGTGTTTATGACATGTAATCATCCTTTTTGCTCAGCTCCCAGTGTGTCCAAGCTTCCTTCATGGAAACCCTCACAGAGCTGCAGCCTTACCAAAACAGGGAAAGCTGCAGGAATGCTTTGTGTAGGCTTTTACTGGGGTGTGTACCTCAGTGCTGTCTGCTGTTCTCCCAGCAGCTCTGCCTCAGGGACTCCTGTTCAGACTGATGGCTGAAACACTGAAACAACCCCTCTGGCTTTGTACAGGAATGCTATAGGGACTCTCTTTCTAATCAGTAGATTACTTGGTCAAAATTTAGTGTTTGCACTTGAACCAACATCCTGTTTAGTTTTTTTTTTTTTCTTTTTCCTCTGTTTCTTCCATTTGGCCAGTGATTCAGCAGATCTGGTGTACTTTCCCAAATATTCCTTTCAGAGTACTCAGAATTTCCCAGCATCATTAACTGGGACTAATGGCTTATTATGCTATACTGTAAGACAGCTAAGCCTCTGCTTTATATCAAAGGCTCTGGATTTTACATGAAAGTTAAAAAAGGAGCACAGACGCTCCTTGGTGGTGTAGGAAAGGAGCTTTCTGTCTTCTTATTGTGCTGGGGATTCAGCCCATTTTAACACACGGCTGAGGCATTCCTGGGTATTTAACATTTATGTCAAGACTGAGCTGTGGCTGAAAGCTCAGAGGCATCACACCCCACATTTCTTAGGGGCTGTAGAGGAGAACTTGAGTCATTGATGCATTAGGTGCCCCGTGGGGCAGAAATCTCCAGAACAGTCCTTGCTGAGTGCACCTCTAGTGGCTCTGAGGGTGGCCATGTCTGTGGGGAAAAGTAACGCTTCATTTTAATTTCTCTGAAGTAATTTTTTGGGGTGGAATTATTTCATTCTCATTAGATCTCTGAGGGTACAAGGAAATTCCTGGTTTAATTGGAGAACTTTACCCTCAAAGCCAGCTTCAAATGTCAGCAAAGCTGCTGCAGGTCCAAGAACTACCTAAGCAGCAATGGCTTGAACTGTCCATGCCATCTCTTCTTTGCTGGCTGTTTTAATCCTGGGTTGTGTTCACCTTTGGTATTGTTTGGCTGGTCCTGGGTTGGACCTTGCCAGGGCTGCTGGTAGTTTGTGGAGCAGCTGAAGGATGTGCTGTGGATGCCTGACAAACCTCTGGCCTTTGTTGCAGTGCAAATAACAATGAACCAGTGGCCTGGAATGGAGGGAAGGGTCAGTAGGCACACAAAAGAATTGGGCCTAAGGATTCAAAGGGAAAAGACCAGGAGAGGCAGATGGAAGACACAGTGAGGGCTCAAGTACTCAATCCTAGATTCAGGGGATTGCATTTGCAAATTCATTCCCCACATACTTTGCCATAACAAGAAGGTGCCTTTCTTGAGGAACAGTGGTGTGTAAAATACTGGATTCTAGGTTGTTCCAATTGTGGGCTTCCAAAGTGGAGAATAAGGAACTTTAATTAGTAAAGTATGCTTTCCCCCAAGAACTTATAGCTCTTTGCTGAGCAATATGATTAATCAAGCAGAGATTAAACATTATCTGTCATCTTGTGTTGTCACCACTGTCATTTCCTGACTGCAGTGCTGGTACAGGTCCATACTATAGTATTTTTAGGTTAAATGAGTTTTTTTAGTGGAATGGTCTTTACACATAAATCCATACTGACTTGGAAGAGAAGGGTCTTCTCATTTGAACAAAGACTTACATCAATCTTTTTCATGTTGTCTACTTCCTTTGTCCAGTGCTGAACTTGTAAATTGATTTTGGGCCTTTGGAAATTAAATGCTTAGTGAAACTAGAAGTATTCCTGTCAAAGATGTTGGAAGGCAAAGCTGAGTTCAGCAGCATTGCTCCCTTTATACATGCATGAAGTACAATTAAGTGTTGATTTTAGTTCAGCTGAAGTGTTTCAACATTAAAGAGGCTGAGGCTCAAGCAAATGTGAAGAGAAGGGTGGTCATACTTCCTGCCTCAAGTAGTCACATTTTACTTCTTAGCTCTTAGAAACATTCTCCTGTAATTAAAGCAGCTTTTTGGACTTGGGAGGAGGGCATACAGAAAGTGTCTGACTTTCTGGCAGACTGTTCACAAGAATTTGGCTGTTTTCCTGGACTGAAATTCTGAGGAAATTCTCTAATTTTTTCGGAAGTATTTTTCTGATACAGCATATCTGTGTTCTGAGTGGCACATGTAAGCTGATGTGCAGCCCTGTTCATATATCTCTGTTTGGATGTGGGTGCACCAATTACATTTTTAAAACCCCAACTAAACCAACCCTGCTATTTTTCTGACCAGATATGCATAATGGCTCTCAGAATACACTGAGCTGAACTTCCTTGGAACATATTACTAGAAAATGGAACGGAAAGGAACCTCATATAACTCTGGGAATAGCAAACTGCCCAAGAAATTTCTTAAAATCAGGATTTGGCATGGGTTGTACTTTCAATATGAAGAAACTGTAACATCTTTCTGGTGCTTCTGCATCCTGTTGATGCCAAACAGTACAAATTCGTGGGACATGAAAACACTTGGGGGAGGATTTAATTACTGTCACTTGTGTATGGATTATTGCTTTGTTTAATTGAGTTGTTCTGCACCTAGTGTGCAGGGCTGTGATTTATTCTGTGATTTATTTTGTCCGTGCTTCTCTGCAGGGGGAGAGGCCCTCTGAAGCACACGGCCGATGTCATCAACGCCGCCAAGGTGATCTCGGAGTCAGGCTCGCGCATGGACGCCCTGGCGCGGCTCATCGCCGACCAGGTGAGCTGCACTGCAGGAGCCTGCCCTGCTCAGCCTCACCCCAGCTCCTCCCAGGGGCTGCTGAGGGAGTGCCTGGGACACAGCTTCTGTCTGAGCCTCCCTCTGTGTGTATCTGTTGTAATCTTGTTGTATTTCTGAAGTCCCATTCTAAAGTCTCGTACCTTCTCAGTGATACTTCTTGGGGGCAGTTCTTCACAGCTCTGACTTCTTCTGCTGCTTGTTGCTGCTTCTTAGTCAGGGCTCCTTCCAGGCTCTCCCTGACTAGCCAAGCCCAGCCCCTTTTATCCCAGTTATCTTCACTAGCCACAGCTACAGCCCAATTAAAGACATCGCAGCTGCAGCCCATCAAAAACAACCGGGGCTTATCAGGGCAAGGCCTATATACAGATATTCAATATACAATACAGATATTTTACTAAGACTCCTACTATATTTCCCCCTTTTCATTTACTTACAGAGACAGGTTTTACATATTCCACTTATAATTACATAATACATATATTTTCCCAGCTCTCGACTGTACAATACAATACAACTAGGACTTCTACTATATTTTTCCCCCTTTTTACAGAAACATATTTAGATGGACACAATATACTACATATATTCTACCACAGCTCTTGGCTGCACAACACATATATTTACCATGACTCGAAGGCCATGTTTCCCCACAGCTTCCTGATTCAAAGGCCATAATCCAACACAACTCCTGGCTGCCACAGCTCCTTGATTCAATGGCCATGCTTCTCCACAGCTCTAGGCTGTCTTAGCCACCACAGCTCTCAGGCTGCTTATCTCCATCACGTTGGGGTCACCAGATGTTGTAATCTTGTTGTATTTCTAAAGTCCCATACTGTTGCAAAAATATTTCAAAAGTCTCGTACCTTCTCGGTAATACTTCTTGGGGACAGTTCTTCACAGTTCTGATTTCTTCTCCTGCTTGTTGCTTCTCCTGCTTGTTGCTCCTTCTTTATCAGGGCTCCTTGTCAGCTCTCTTTGGCCAAGCCCAGCCCCTTTTATCCTTGTTATCTTCACTAGCTAGAGCTACAGCCCAGTTAAGGACATCGCAGCTGCAGCCCATCAAAAACAACCAGGGCTTATCAGGGCAAGGCCTATATACAGATATTCAATATACAATACAGATATTTTACTAAGACTCCTACTATATGTATCCATGGTCTGTTCATGTACACCTGAAAGGGACGTGTACGTACATGAAACGTGTCTAGGGACACAGATCCATCTGCACATGTGTTTGTACATGTGTCTGAATATTTGGGAGGTCCCTTAAGCTCTGAATGCAACATTTTAGACATAAAGTATATATGAACTTGTATATAGCTACACATTTAAAATATATATATTTTAAATCACACGTGTCTAGGGACACAGATCCATCTGCACATGTGTTTGTACATGTGTCTGAATATTTGTGAGCTCCCTTAAGCTCTGAGTGCAACATTTTAGACATACAGAATATATGAACATGTATACAGATACACATTTAAAATATATATGTTCATGGCTGCTTTAATTAATTAATTAATTTATTTATTATTAACATATTAAGGCTTATGTATATAAATAGTTGTATAAAAAGCTGTTGTCCTGCTTTAACCCCAACTGGCAACTGAGTACAATGCAGCTGCTCGGTCACCTACTCCTGGAACTGGAAAAAAAGAAAACCTCATGGGTAGTTGTAAAAAGTTTATTAATTTAAAATATAATAGTAGTAGTAGTAGTACTAGCATTGATGCTGAAAGAGAGGGGGAGAGAGGACTGAGACCAGAGAGAAAGAAGGGATGCCCAGCACAATTCCCCAGCATGTGCTGCCTGATGCCCAGCCTGTCCCTGAACAGCAGTCAGCCCCTTCCAGGTGAGTCCCCCATGCTGGCCATGGCACTCCATGGAACTGGTATGGAAGAGCTTTGGCCAGTTCACATCACCTGTCCTGGCCGTGCTCCCCCCCAGCTGCCTGCACGCTGCTCACTGCAGAGGGTGGGACACTGAAAGGTCCTTGTGTGCCACCTTCTTCCCATTCTTCATCCAGCAGAGCAGGGGGCCAGCCCCTGTGGAGAGCAGGAGCTCTGTGCCAGGCAAAGGCAGCAGCTGTGCAGGCAGCATTGCAGAGCTGCAGGCTCATCCTCTCCTGAGTGAGCTGGGGAATTGCCCAGCAGCAATGCAGCTGCTCCAGGTGAGCTGTGGGAGCACAGCAGGGAGGCACTGGCACAGAGCTCTGCTGCTCTGGGCTCTGAGCACCAGCTTAGGAAGGACAGACTTGTCTGGCTCCAGAATGGTTTGCTCTCCACCCTCTGCAGAGTCACAGAATCCACACTTTTCCTGTACTTTCTTTCCTTGCCCCCCACCGCTAACACTGTCTGTTTTGGCCTCTGCAAATCTGCAGCTTGAAGGTGATTTTTGGTTTTGCATTTAGTTTTTATTTGAAGTTATTTTAAGTAACTCTTATGAGTTACTAATCACCATGAAATGCCAAGTGTTAGAGCTGGAAGGTGTGCTTTATCTCTGTTGGAGTTTTAGATGGCTCAACCTCCCCCAGAAGAGCCCAGCAGAGCAGGGTAGCTCAGCAGCCTGCCTAGGGGAGCTGCAGTGGCACGGGGCACCCCTGCACCTCCTCACCAGGCTGGCTGGGTCTCCTTAGGGCTGTGCAACACCAGCAGAGCAGTGCAGGTGTCACACCTGAAGCATTTCTTCCTTTGTGGCTGCCTTTCAGGTCCAGGGCAGCACAGGACAGTCACTGTTTCCACACCCTCATGTGCTCTCTCTTCTCCCTTCACTTTTTATTTTCATATTCAGTGCTTGCTTTCCTACTGTCTAGAAAGAAACCTCAGTCTGTTAGTGGTTGTCCTGTGTCTCTCTGAATTCCAGGTAACAAAGAATTTCTAGTTTGTATCTATACAGTTGTGATCAGATTTGTGGAAAAAATAGGTAAAATGTCTGAATTCCCCAATTCCTGATCTTAACACACTTTCTTCCAGCACTGGACAACAGCTGCTTTCAAGATTTTATCTATTACTGATTAAAATTCAAACCCGTCACTGATACACTGCAGAAACTGATGACATAGCAAAGGCAAAGCTGACTAAGGATCATAAATTCCTGTTGGTTTTTAGGACAGGGAATCCACTCTCACTGAAATATTTCTTCTATGAAAGAAAGATTTCAGCTGTATTAGTACAATGACTCCAGCCTAGAAATATGAGCAAATCAGTGTGAGGAGAAAGTATTCATGAACCACTAGTGGTGATAATTCGTGTGTCCCCTCAGAGCTGCTGGGAAATGTGACATCACTGAGGTTATTGTAACCCATTTACTGAGTTCACTCCAGCTCCTTGCCTTGGTCCTCACCTAGAGCTTGCACACAGCTGGCACCCAGGGGCCCCCTGAGCCCTGGGATTTGTGCATCTGAAGGACACTCCTTACTTACAGGTGTTGCTTGGATTTTAGATGCAGTTTTACATTACATTATATGCATTAAAACCAGAAAAATCCAAATCAAAAGATGGCCCAAGGCAGCCCTTCCAGTTATGGTGAACACAATTGCAAGTATTGCTAGGTAGGTGTCAAATTTATTAAAGAGAATCTTGCTTTGTTCCTGCTATTACAGATAGTCTTATTATGATCCTCTCACTCCTTGCATGGCTAGAAAGCTTTTAACTTCTGTTAAAAGAAGGTTTAAAAGGTTTTTTTTGGCTGTGCAAGTTATTCTTTAACTTAGAAAGCTCTTTTCTTATTGTGGTGGTTTTTTTTAAATCTTGACGGTATTTTCAAATTCCTTTTCTCAGCTGTTTTTTTGCCAGGTTTCCTATGCCCTGTACTTCTGGGGTCTTAAAATAAAATAAACTTTACATTCCTCTGGGCAACCACATAACTGTTCTCTGAATTTGGGCCAAACTGGATAAGCCCTTCAGGAATTTGGTACCCAGTCAAACATGAGTATTGCTTTCCTGAGCAGCATTTGGACTTTTTAGTGGAGTATTTCACATGTTGCCTTTTACTAACAACTAAATTCTGTAGCGCTTCTATTATGTGAAACAAAAGGATTGATATGATTTTTATAGCTCCCTGTTGCTGTGTTTGAAGAGACGGCATACAGCATGCTACAATCAGCACAACTCAGCTGTATTTCAGCCCAGAGTCACAAGCACTTCTAGGATGGCTCAGAGTAACAAGGGTCCAAATCCTCACAGTTACAGCATCAACAGCAACTTACACACCTGAATCACAAGTGCATTATAAATTCATTATCAGGAGACGTTCCCTTTTGTCAGAAGATTCTTGTTCTTTCTTCCTTCTGTCCGAAGATTTTTGCTGCTTGATGTGACCTGGAAGCCCTAAGATGATGAAGGCAGTGAGTGCCTCCCCCTGGGTTGATGAAATGTGCTGAAGAGTGAGGTCTGTATTAAGAGCCTGCTCTGTGTTGCACCCACTGGGCTCCCAGTCAGGCAGGCCTGGCTGGGCTCATTCAGAGTGCAGTTTGTCAGAGCTAATTGCAGTGTGTAAATAATCCCTTTGGGTGACACAACCCCACTGGGGGAGCAGCAAAGCTGCCTCCTGTCTGTGCCCAGCACACATTTGTAGTAGGTGGTGTGTGGTTATCCCCAATATTGATCACCATGAAGACAGGTTTGGGTTCTGTAGAGAAATGCTTTGGCCTTGGTTAGCAAGGGGATGAAGTGAGAACAAAGCAAACCCAGAATGGTCTGTGGGCAGAAGCTCCTGTGCATTGTTCATTCACACCCTCTGTGCCACTGCTGTGCCACTGGCTTTATCACTTGGATGGTGAGTGCTGGTTTCAGTCTGGTTTTAATTACTGCATTATTTTAATTTCTCACATTGTTTGGATGTTCTGGTGGATATTCTCTTGGGTAAAATAGCACTGCATCTTTGGGATGCAGGTCAGTTCTGATGCTGCTCTTACAGAAAGCCCTTGGCAGCAACAGCCACTGCCCACAGGATGTGTGGGGAAAAACCTCTCAGAATCTGATGGGCTCTCCAGTCAGGAATGTGCAGCAGTAAACTGGTAACCATCAATTACTGTGGGATGGTGAAACTCAGAATTTATTGATTGTCCTTCTGTTGCAGCCTAGTGTTTGGTTTTGCTGGTGAGCAAGTGCTGCTTGTACCAGCTGCTCCTGAGCAGTAGGTAGATGACTCCTTGTGCAGTGTCCTCCCTGCAGAACATTTGTTCCCAGCATCTGCTGATGGCTGATCTGACGTGCTGCAAGGCATGAGGTTTCATTTTCTGGCCAGCCTGAGCCTCTGCTGCAGTGCTGAGCCAGAGCTCAGGCACGGATCCACTGCTCCCTGCTGCTGCCAGGAGGTGACACCGGCTATTGACACAGCTTGGAGAGCGTGGCCTGGCTTCATGGTGCTCCCAGCCCCCTGCAGCCAAGCCAGAATTTACACTGCCAAACATATGGTTATGGTACCCTCAATGTGGGGAAATTGTCCTTGATAATTTTCCATTTGTTTGTCCAGTAATTTCTTCTGCTTACATAAAATTTTAATATCACCATTCTGTAACAAAGATTTCTGCAATTTAACAACCCTCATGTTAAAAACCATTTCCTTTGTTTTGTGCTCCTGGGAGTCACTGTTAATGACCCCTGGGGTCTGTAATGGAGGAAGAATTACAGGATTCAGTAAAATCTTTCTCCTTCCATCTGGGCCTTGGCTGGGCAAGGATGCACGGGATCTACTCAGGTAGTGCAGCTGTGAATATGCCACTGCATAATTACATTTCAGGAGAATTTTCTTATCCAATGCCCTGCATTTGCTTTTTTGAATCCTTCTGGTACTGAAAGTGTTTGCACAGAACCTCAAGGTCTTGCTCTTGAGTGCAGTTTCCTGCCCTTTGATGTGTATCATCTGTAGCATTCCTAAAGTGGTGCCCATTTCTTCTGTAAGGCTGTGTAAGAGAGACAGCACTGTGACTAACCTGACACAAGAAAATAAAAGAGTACTATGTAATAATCATTCTTGTCTCTGAACTTCTGTAATTGGCATTGTCACTGTTTGAAGTGGATGAGGCACTATATTGGCACCCTATACACTTTTCTCTTGAGTTTTTCTGGCCAGAGGGATAAAATCAAAGTGTAACTAAGGAGAAAGGAAAAAGAACAGAGGAGGAAGAATGTCATTCCAGGAATACACACCATCTTGGTATTATGAGTTGTGATGCTCTAAGGGATTGTATTGTACTTTACTTGAAATGTATTTTTTATTAATTAAATTAAATAAACAGTGAGTATTCCAGCTTTCTGAACACTGAGATACTGTTATATGAATACTGATTTGGGCAGTTCTTAAAGCAGTGCTTAATAAGGAAGAAATAAAAACATATTTTAGGTCAGTTTTCTATCAGATAGAAAGAAAACATGTCCAGGAAATGTTCTGGTTTTGCTGTAAACTGTGCCCAGATACAGGAAACAATAATGGACGTAGCAGAACATGAGGTAAGGACTGATGTTAAGTCATATTAATTAATTTAAAATTGTACACTCTGACCTTGTTTACTGTTACCTTTTGCTAAGTCTGAAGCATGAACTTGCTATTATTGCATAGCCATGAAGAACAGCATTGTCACAGCAGCCCTTTGAACACATACTGTTGCTTCAGCAAAGCCAGGAGCTGAAATACTTTTGGAGTTAAGTAGAATTGGTGCTTTTTCTGGCTCCTGGTGGGTTTGGATTTAAATCCACTGACCACAATTCAATAAAACCACAGGTGATTGTTGACAGTGTGCATTTGGTGGGGATGTGTCTTTGCTTTCCCAGTATGCAAAGCTGAGAGTTTCCTGTCAAAAGGAAGGGGCTGTATTTGTCATGTGTGCACCACACCCAGTCCAACACCATGTCTGCACCTGCAGGGATCTTGTGCTTATTTATGCTCTTACTCTCTGCAGCTGTGGGAGCACAGCAGGGGCTCACCATTCCCCTTAGGATCCCTTTATTCTGCCAGAGCAATGGGAATCAGCCTTAGAACAAATTCATACCCAGCCTTTCATGGCTGGCCTGGTACCCACAGAGCAACGTTGCACTCCAAGTACTCCATGTATTCTGGGGAAAAAAATAGGTTACAGCAATCCTGGTTTGATTTCTGTAATATAAATCTATATTGTTAAAAATATTGACAGTTTTTATTGTGACTTTTCAATAAGACATTCTAATTTTGCTGTTCCCACAGCGAGAGAGGATCTGCAGATTGAATTCAGTACAGTCTAGATGGAACACAAAAAACCCCCATAGATCTGGTTAAAAGATAAAGCATAACATACAGATATTAACATGTCTCTGCATGTGTGGTTACACAGCCCATGAAATCTGTTTGGATTGCTCTCATCACTGTTTATAGAGGTATTTTCTTAGAGATCATCTAAGGACTGGAAGTAATTACTCTATACATTAAAGATATGTTTAGAAATCCTGCTAAGGCAAGCTCAGCAATGTTAAATACAGAGTGCATGTGGGGAATCTTAGGCTTCATCTGAGCTTCCAACTACAGATTAAAAAACTTCCCAAGGGGAATGAACTTAGCAGCCTGATAAACTGCAGTGAAAAGCAAGGCTCCAGTAGTCTGCAACTGGAATACTCCCCAGTGAAGTTTCAATGATTCCTGAGATACCATTCTGAATCAGCAGTTACTGAAGTGCTTTATTTATTGTTCTTTTCAGTGCCCAGACCAGTCGTGCAAGCAGGATTTGCTAGCTTACCTAGAACAGATCAAGCTGTACTCCCACCAGCTCAAGATCTGCAGCCAGGTTAAAGCAGAAATCCAGCATCTCGGTGGAGAGCTCATCATGTCTGCAGTAAGTAGAAAAATGGCATCAAGTGCTCTGTTAGTCAGACCTGTGCTTGCAGCATGTTCCACTTCACTCCAAATCCTGTTTTCTTTTCTAATACCCACTTAACAGCAAGAATCTACGGCAGTGACACCTAGAACTTCTGGCTTTAAAGGAATAATCATCACCTGGTCTTTTAAAATTCTCACAGCACATTATCACTGTTATTATGAGGTAGTCTGGTTTGAAGAACTCTAAGGTGCATTAGCTTGCATGTGTGGACTGCAAGCTAATGGGTGTGTCTGAACACAGTGAAAGCAGTCCAGGGTGGAGTTCCAGGCCAGAAAAAAATGCTGCAAGACATTCTACAGGTCTACAGAAATAAATAACAGGAAGAGCAAAGTGACTTGATTCCTGAGTGAATTTATTGATTTCTCTTAAATTTGCTTTAAGAGTTATTAGCTCCTTTACAGCCAAGTATCATTAGCCATGGAAAAGACATTTTGTGCTTTTATGGAACTTTTATGCACTTGGCCTCGGCACAGCCATCCATAAAATGCCTTCACCTTCCCATGTTCTGTGAGGTGTTTCTGCCTGGAGCACATAGGGTTGTGATTTCAAGGTATAAATCTGCCAAACAGCACCAAACCCAGGTAAGACACTGGGCACATTCCTACCCTTCACATACTTGGCACCGTGTTGAGGGGAAACTTCACTCACATAGTTTGGAATGCTTGCTCTCTGTATCTCTCTCCCCCCAGCTGTTCCTCTGTGTCTGTACCTATCCCTGGCTATCTGTGTTCATCTGTCTCTGTGTATCCTGATCTGTATCTGTCTGTATCTCTCTATACCTATCTACCCCCAGTGATACCTGTCTCTGTGTCCCTCCACCTGTCTGTACCTATCTGTATTAATCTCTGCCTGATTCTGTCTTTATCCACCTACACCTGTCTCAGGTCACCCATTTCTGTCTATCCCTATCTACAGCTCTCTGTATTTATATATACCTGTGTGTGCTTATCTCTGCCTGTCTGTACCTGTACCTGTCTGTACTTGTCTCTGTATGTCTCTGTCAAACCACACCTATCTCTGCCTGTCTCTACCTGTGCCTGTTCATACCTGTCAGTACCTCTCTATACCTGACAGGATTTAGCTCTGCCTGTCTAAACCTGTCTCTGTCTATATGTATCTTTATATATATCTGTATGTATCTACACCTCTATATACATCTCTATACATCTCTACCTATATCTATACATGTCATCTATACATGTCTCTATCCATCTATACTTACTCCACCTGTCAGTACTTGTCACTCTCTGTCCTTATGTATATCTCCCTCTCTGTACCTGTCAATATCTGACAAAAGCTCTGTCAAAGATCTGTCTCCAGCCCTGCCAATATCTCTGTCAGAACCTGTCAGAATACAAGAGAATTTGTCAAAACGTATCAGAATCTGCCAAAATCTAACAGAATCGGCTAAAATCTTAGAGAATGTCAGGATCTAACAGAATCTGTCAGGATCTGTCTGTACCTCTCTGTCAATGTCTATGTGTACCTGTCACTTCCTCTCCCTGTCAAAAATTTCTTTTATCTAGATAGTCAGTATCTACCTCTGCTTGACAAACTCTGTCAGCACCTCTGTCTGTCTGTCCATATCTGTCAGCCTGTCTCTCTACCTGTCCATGTCTGTCTGTACCTATCTCTACCTGTCTATACTCACAGCTCTCTCTAGAGCAGCCTCTACCTGTGTCAACCTCTCTGTACCTGTCTCTGCCTCTCCCTGTGCCTGTCTAGCCCTGTCTCTAACCATCAATATCTGTACATTCCTATTTCTGTCTCTAGGCCTGCCTATCCCTATTTATCTTTCACTAAAACTATTATTACATTTTATGTGGTTTATAAATATTTGGAAATGAGTCTTTGTTGCTGAGGTGAGATTTGAAGCACTCATTTCTATAGGATACTTGTGCTGGCTAATTTAAATGGTAATTTAGACACCACATTCGAACCTCTGGAACATACAGTTACATAATTTTAATTGCATGGATAATTTCTGAAGCCAATGCTTGTTTTTACTTGGACAGCACATTAGCAAAGTTTATCTTCCTTACCTGTTTCTTTTCACAAGCAGTTCTGTGACCAGTGTGGGTTACAGTAAAGCCAAATGTTGGAACCAAGTTTGGTTCTTGCTATTTCTGCCTCCTGCTGTGGAATACTCATGTTGTTTTCTTTACCTTTTTTGTTGTGTAGCTCCTGTCAACAGTGCACAATCTGTCTGGTGCAAAAATTTTAAATTCTGAAAATGAACCCCCAAATTTAACTTATTGATAACCCTAAAGACATGACTATAGATCCTAGCCCTGCTTCAGGGAAGGAGGGCAGGAATTTGTCCTGTGTGCACCCAGGAACTTGAGAAAGCTGACTGTGTGTTTGTGGCAGCGGGGAATGAATCGACACAGACCCCCTGATGCATCCCAAGGAGATCCTTTATTGTAGAAATTGCTCCATGTGCTGAGTGCAGCCTCCCCAGGGCAGAGATTATTGCCCCATGTGCTGAGTGCAGCCTCCCCAGGACAGAGATTATTGCTGTGTGTGCTGAGTGCAGCCTCCCCAGGGCAGAGATTATTGCCCCAAGTGCTGAGTGCAGCCTCAGCAGGGCAGAGATTATTGCCCCATGTGCAGAGTGCAGCCTCAGCAGGGCAGAGATTATTGCCCCATGTGCTGAGTGCAGCCTCAGCAGGGCAGAGATTATTGCTGTGTGTGCTGAGTGCAGCCTCCCCAGGGCAGAGATTATTGCTGTGTGTGCTGAGTGCAGCCTCCCCAGGGCAGAGATTATTGCCCCATGTGCTGAGTGCAGCCTCAGCAGGGCAGAGATTATTGCCCCATGTGCTGAGTGCAGCCTCCCCAGGGCAGAGATTATTGCTGTGTGTGCTGAGTGCAGCCTCCCCAGGGCAGAGATTATTGCTCTGTGTGTGCTGAGTGCAGCCTCCCCAGGGCAGAGATTATTGCTGTGTGTGCTGAGTGCAGCCTCCCCAGGGCAGAGATTATTGCTGTGTGTGCTGAGTGCAGCCTCCCCAGGGCAGAGATTATTGCTGTGTGTGCTGAGTGCAGCCTCAGCAGGGCAGAGATTATTGCTGTGTGTGCTGAGTGCAGCCTCCCCAGGGCAGAGATTATTGCTGTGTGTGCTGAGTGCAGCCTCCCCAGGGCAGAGATTATTGCTGTGTGTGCTGAGTGCAGCCTCCCCAGGGCAGAGATTATTGCTCTGTGTGCTGCACCAATCCCCTCTAGCTCAGTAAACAGGCAGGGAGGTGCTTCCTTTGGGAACCAGTGAAATGGAGAACGTGCTTAGAGGCCTGAATGGCTTTGGGGGTGTTCTGTGAAATCAAGGTGAGATGCTGCAAGGTTGCTACTCTCTTAAATCATCTTAGAAAATGCTCCAACAATGACTGTGTTATTTTTTTTGATTTTTAAATGGGTGCTACATAGAAAAGAGTCAGATTGCTAGCCAGTGTCAAAAGAGACATGTGCTCTCACTCCAGGTCTTTTAAAGACAGTGGAGACATGGTTGGCACCAGTGGTTATGAAAAATTTCTAGAAAATTGAAAAAAGTCTCGCTGGTCTCTGTTTTGGGAAGGGGAGGTCATTTGTGACTGACTGTGCTCAACTGCCCCCCTGCAAATAAAATTGTGATTATCTGAAACTGCAGCCCAACAAAACAGTGATGGCCTTTTGTATTAATTTAACTCTTCATGTTTTAATTGCTTCAGTTTTAGAAGAACAGTGGGATTTACATTGTGCAGATAAATTGCTCAGTCGAGAAGGAGAGAAATGCACTAGTGGTATAAAACGGCTGGTTACTGAATTGCTTTTCTTAAAAGCTGGAGCAAGTTCCAGTTTTCAAAGTTCATGTGGGGACTTGAGAAGTTGATCACATTCCTAGGTTAGCTGGCCTTGAAATAAATGACAAACCCAAGTTCTGTGTGAGGCAGCAGGGGGGTTCTCTCCCCCTTCCCACCTTCTCCCTGCCCAGAAAATAATATTAGAACTCCATTAGAAAATACAGGAATCAGAACTGTAGCTGGAATAGGATTATATTTTATATTCTCCCCAATCCTGATCTTGTTTGAATGAGAATCAGAAAATGAGACAGCAAGCCCTTGCAGATAGTAAAGGTTTTATTGTGCATTAAGTAAAAAACTTGGGAGTCTCCAAATACCTGAAACTGAATCCATCCTCTGGTTAGTGAAGATCTGCTACAGGAAAAGAAATCTACCAGTAAGAGCATTAGGAAATAATCATATAGATTTCTCCATTGTTTGCTCTCCCCTGCATCCATGTAGGTGTGTGCAGGAATGACCTCCCTGGTGCTCGGGCATGCTCCCCTCCTCTGGCTGGCATTGGCTCCTCACAGCCCCTCCTTCAGGAGCTGGGACAGGCCTCTGGCAGCACAGAAGCTGAGGGGGGAAGCTCCTCTCCTGTGAGAAATGACACATTTCCATGTTCACATGGGTCAGTACCAACTTGCACAGTGACAAACCCACTTTGAGTACCAGCTGGTGGAATCCACACATAAAAGCACTGTTTTGGGATGGCCCTTACATTCACCCCACACCTCTCTTCTCCAACCATTAGAACAAGGATCTTGGGTTTAAATCACCTTCAAGGAAAATACCTTCTCACAAGAGCAGCAGTTCATTAAAAAAATTACCCAAACCAGCCTCTTTTGAAGCCTAAGGAGCAATAGAGAGGAAGAGAGGGATGAAAAGCAGAGGATGTAGTGTCACATGTGTGCAGACCTGCAAAAGAAAGAACTGTCTTCTTGAAACAGAGCAGCCACAGTCACTGCCTTACCAGTTCTGGATGATGCTGTGGTGGAGGAAGGAGCCCTAAACCAAAGGAGCCCTGAACTGGTGCTCCAGGTTAACCTTGGGTGGTACAGTGGAGCCGTGGGTGGCAGTGCCATGGCACAAGGGCAGCTGTGTCTCTGTCAGCAGCAAATTCTGTTCTCACCCACATGATCTGCA